AGGAGCCGCGGGGGATGTGAGGGCGGCCCGGGAGGCCCCGCCCGCTGCGGGGCTGCGTGCGGGCGGCCTGGGGGCAGGGCTGTCCCGGGATGGTGTGAGGCAGCCCGTGCTCTGGCGGGATGAGGCCCTGCCTGCTCTTTCCGAGGGGCTGGACGAGCGCGGCTTTTCGGTGTGTTTTTTTTCCAGGGCAGCTCGTTACGCTGAGGGGAGAGCTGCCTCCTCATTCCCCTCGGCGGGGTTTGAGGTGGTTCTTGAGGCTCAGGCCTGCGTGCGGCTCCGGTGCAGGCCGCGTGTTCCATGGGTGACTTGGTGTTGAAGAGCTCTGGTCCCTCGGCCGGGCCCTGCGGTACCGGGCGCGGTGCAGGGCACGGCTGTCCCGTCCCGAGGGGCTCGTAGCATCTCCGGGCCCAGAGGAGGCATTCCAGCAAGCACTGGGGTGGTATTGTGCTCCTGGCCTCGTTTCTGTATGAAAACCATGACAGGAAAAGCAGGGAATGCCGTTGCTACTGCAGTGTGGTACCGCTGTGTGAGGGCTGCAGGCGCGGGAGGCAGGGCCTGTTCCTGCCAGGTGGATCCCGGCGCCCTGGGGAGCAAATGGATGGTGGATGGTCTGCCCACCTTGGGGAGCTTTCAGGATCAGCGCCTAACTCACCTTTTGTGGCGTTCCAACCATTTGATGTTAACGCTATGCCTAAGCACTGCGGAATGTTTGCGGGCTGCTGCCCTGCGCAGCGCCCAGGGCTGTGGTAACTGCAGCGGCTGCAGCTCTGAGGTCACTGCAGACAGGGATGCTCTGCCGGGGCAGGGTGAGTACAGCCCAGCTGTGCTAATCTGCTGAAACGAAACATCTGAATGCTGAGTTTTCGCAATGACATTCTTCTCCTTTCCTGATTACTAAGCCTTTCCTCTTCTGGCACGTGGTTGCTTGTGCAGTGATGTAAGCACACAGGGCTGAGCACAATAGGAGAGCTGTGTCAGAGGAATGGGAGGCTGTCCCTCCAGAAGAGCTTGCAGTTGAGGAGCACAAGCTGGAACTGCACAGGACAGCATTGAGTAGTACAGTGCTGAAACGGCATAGTGGGTGGTTCTTGTTGAGTGCAGTACACCACAAAACAGATGGGTTTCAAGGAGTATCTTGGAGGAAGAGAGGGAGAGAGATTTGCATTCAGTAAAATAAAGTCATTTCTGGGCATAACAAACAGCACTGCCAATTCAGGGTTTTACAGCTCCTTTAGTTCTTCCTTCATAAATCTAGTCTCTGAACACTTTGTAGAATAGTAGTTCTTTGGAGCACAATTTTACATATTTATTGTGTTCTCATATTTATGATGTTCAGTACTGTTCCAAAGCAATTTCATAATATGTCTGCTGTGACTGTTTATACACGAGCAGCACCTGAGTAGACAGATGTGCTCTAATCACAGCACACTGCACTTTTGTCTTTTTTCTGAATTATAAAATATCCCAGTAGTTAATTCTGGTCTCAGTCTGTAAAGGAGATGTCACTCAAGCTCCACTGGCTGGACCACCACTAGGCTCTGCACATACACACTGAACACTTCCCCTGTATTTGTCTGGCAGGCCTATTAGAGCTATTGCATGGCAGAGAACCCTGAGCTGCTCTCCTGTGGCAGATCTGTTGTGTTGCTGCTGGATGTCTAGAAATCCTGGGTAAGTGCAGGAAAGAGCAGGAGCTCAGTTAATGAGGCATAAAAGAATTAGGGTTGGCAGTTTTATCTGTAAGGTCTGGCTGTCTGCTGTTTACAAAATCTCAGCGGGAGATTTTGCTTAGAAGCAGGAAAGAATAACACAAACATTAAATGATACATGCTCCTTGAAAAACAAGCAAACACTTGGTCTTAAGAGACTTTAATGTGAGGATAATTTACAAGTGCAGAGAAAAGGGCATGAGCTCCATCCATCTCACTGTAGCTAAGACAAAGGGGAGAAGGTACAGGTACAGGTCTCAAAGACACCTCAAGCAGGTGCTTCTGCACAGGCACACATTCATGTTACCCTAGATGTGCAGGTCCCTCTGTAATATGTACACCATTTACTCTCTATGTGTAACTATATTTACTTCTTTTCCTGCAGTAATAGGACTTGGGGCCATCTTCCATTTGCAAGTTGTTATTTACTGCCTGAAATCTTCAGGATGTCTGGAATTTTACTTAAAAATCTGGAAGTACAAGTAATCCTCATGGTGCTGCTGAAAGGTAACGTAACAAGTAAGAGGTTGTGGTGGTTAAGACACGGACTCCAGGGTGAGAAGCAATGGAATCCTTTATTATGACAAAATGCTCCCCTATATACTTTTACAGTGGGAATAAGCAACTGGGATATAGGGAGTGTAAACAGCACTCACACCTGTTCCTTGGCACATACACAGACCTTGGGTTCCCAGGATGTAGCAAATCACACACTGAACACAGGATAGACGGTGTTATGATTTTTGTCAACATTCACAGTGCTGTTCACAGCAAGCCCTGGCCCTTAGCTGGTCATGCTGTTTTGTCTACTTCTTTACAGATAGAGGAGGCCCCTTTTCCCCCTTTTTTTCATTCTCCACAGGAAGTTAAACAATTGATAAGCCTGAAAATTCACTTGCAGTTTGTGTGGCTGTTGGGAGAACAAGTCCTTAGACCTGTCAGAGAACTGCTTGGACTTGTATTTACTAGCTGCTAACATGTGAGATCCCATGGGAGGACGTGATAGTGCATCCACCAGGGTGGGCACAACAGCAGTGGCATATGAAGGAGAGATTCACTTTTTGGTTAGTGAATTTCGCTGTTACATTCAGATGGTGCATTTATGTTTCATGTAAATAGAGGTGATTGCTATTGTTAGTGAGCAGGACTGACTAGGCATTTTATTTTTTGTCAAATTAACTCCAGTTGTCCTATTGCTTTTTGATAATTAGAGTATCAGTCTTTAAATGTCAAATTTTCAAGCAATGCCTTAATATTTTATCTCATATAAACATACTTCTTTCTCTGTCATTCATTTTCCCATAAGAACCCACATATCAGAATATTTTGGTATCTATACTAGATATAAGACAAACTGACAAAAAAAAATGGGTGCTACAAGATGCTGAAATACTTACAGATCTCTGAACTGTAAGTCAGCAGCAGCTTACTTTGAAAAGTGTCTTTGTCAAATGATGCTTTGATGATGAAGAAATCTTAGAAGTCTTCTAAGTTTTATAAATTGCATGAGGGCAAATGCATGACACGATTTTAAAATAATTTCAGCCACAAATAATTTGGGGATCATGAAGGTGATGATTCCAGAATATAATGCCTTCTAATGGGCAAGTAGGAATTGGTTCCTGCGTGAGAGTGGGAGGCAATTGCTGATGTGTGATGGAAGCTGTATCATCCAGTATTATTGCAAATGTAGTAATGCCATGTACATAAATATAATGAGAGAAGTTTGGAACTGATCATGAACCTCATTCAGAAAAGCAGTTAAGGCAATTTTTTGGTAATATTAAAGTAAATTAAGGGCATGGCATGTGAACTAGTTTTAAGTAGTGTGGTTCTTTAGTACATTGGCTTTTTCACTTCATATTCCAAGGGTTCTAAATTATGAAGATGAGGTAGTGTGGTAGTTGAAAGGTGAACATGCATTAAAATTATTTCTGGAAACAAATACCAGGAAATGTTATTTCCTGGAAATTAAACATTTTATCTATACAAACTATAACAAAGTGCCTCTTTATTATTTGAGGAATCCATATTCATTTTAAAAACATATTTCATAGGACATCTCTGTGTCATGAATGCCTGAGTAGGTAGTTAGTTTTTGGGACATCTTCCTTCTCAAGCAAAACCAGAGGAAAATTACCAGAACTTGGTATCATCTTCTCAATGGGAGAATACTGCACTGCTAGGATAGCTAAATCCAAAGGAAGCCAGCCCAGGTTTTCTGTCTGTGGGAGGAATTTAGGGTGAGAAGAATCTCCAAACAGGACAGCAAAGACAGATCTCAGTTTCTATGTCCAAACAGCTCTTGGCCTTTTTGTCCTCTCTCTGCATAAGAAGGCTGCCACTGAAGACACACACAACCTACTTCTTAGAAGTCACTGACTGTTCTTACCTATCAGTAACTATTAACCTGGGTTACATCTGAAGCAGCAATAATTGCTGTAGCCACTGCTAGTTCCTTGAAATGTGTTATCACATACCTATTCACAGTTTGGAAGACAGGTTTTAACCTTTAACTCAAGCCACCTTTTTTGATATCCAGCAAGGTTTTCATTCCTCATGTCTGTGAAGAAGTTACCATCTTCTACCCTTAGATTGATATTTATTTTGCAGTGAAGTGCAAACAATTAATTCAGGTACCTGAGGTTTGGCATTTGGATAAGATTTCAGATGGCTATTTAATTTATCATTCAGTGCAGTCTACTGTGGGGAAAAGTGTCTGCTCTAGACTCATACCTCTGGAAAAGAACTATCAAACTTGTAAAACAATGAAGTCAGCTAGCCCAGGGACAGTGTAGTGTCTTGTGCTGATGAATATAACAGAGAGGGATGCAAAATTATGCTCTTTAGTGATTTTTTTTTTTTTTTGAACTGGTGATGTGATATTTTGTGAAATGAAAAATTATGGCGCCAATACTGGAACCTGAATGTTTAAAATGTTTTGCCTCTTCAGGTTGTTTTACAACTCTTCCAATTACCATGACATTCAAATATGTACAGACTCCTATAGATGATTTTTTAAATTTGCCTCACTACTCTCCTGGTCATAATTTAGCTAGATGAGAAATTAGGAGAAAATTATGCCAGAGATCTGTTTTGTGTTTGTTTTTCTAAATGTTTAGCAGTTTCAAATTGCTTTCACAAATAAAGCCAGTTGTCCTCTTCCCCTTCAGGCTTAAAAGCTATGTAAATGGTTGTTAACATTCTATTGGAGCAGCTCATGACTCAGATTCTTAAGTGCAGATTTCTCTGGCCTTTGCTCCTCACCAGTATTACAATAACACAAATTGTCAGCCTATTTAGATGAGAAACAAGTAACAGTCAAGGCCAGATTCTGCTTTTCTACCTCTCACTTCATAATGTCATAATGAGATTCTGGCCAAACCACTGTGTGCCATGCAGCATTCAATCTGCAGTGTACTCTGAAAAGGCTGATGTGAGTTACTAAACACAGTCATTAGCCCCTATTTGTGTAAGGTTACTGGAAATTGTTCCCACATCTCTCAGCTGGTTGTGCTGCTGCACTGGGACATGTCCTTTCCAAGCGAGTGACGCACTCACTCTGCAGTCTGATACTTGCAAGTGACTTTACCTTGCAGCTTTTGAATATACACCTTCAGTTTGCTGAAGGGGTTCTGATGTGACTGGCCATAAGGAAAAACAAATCTTCCCGTGAACTTCCTTAAAAACTCAGTTAAGGGGCCAGGGTGGTCCTTAACTCCTGCCTGCTCTACAAAGCCCGCACTCAGGAGCAGAGCAACAGGAGAGCCTTTGGCAGAAGGGCAGGTCCCCATGCTTGTGTCTGATCTGTGCTCTTGGATCAGAAGAATTGCATGAAGTTTCCTCATACCAGAAGAGGAGCAGGTGCAGGAGGAGAGTATTGCCTTCATTTGTTGTCATCTTCTGCCATTTTTATTTTTTTTTTCAGCCCAAAATTAAGTGACCAAACCTTAATATTAGTTTGCTTGCATTGATAAATGCATTTAAGAGATGTGAGTAGCTTATGAGCTCATGGCCAGAGAACATTGTACATTACAAGCCACAGTTATAAGCAGCCTTTTGGTCTGCTGACCTTTGTAATAATTCCTAACAGGGAATATTATTTTAAAGCATCCACCCTGTTACTTGCAGAAGTTGTATGTCTTATTTTCAAGTGTGATTTGGTAAAGTAGGACCACTATGAATAGTAATTCTTTATAGGGTTGTCAGCTTTCAGACCTTACAAAGTAAGGCGCCTTTTCCTGGGCTCTAAGTGTGTGATCCACCTGTTAGTGGCTGTATTACTAGTATCACGTTACTGTACCTGGTCCTGATCCTGCATTATGGTGATGCTTGTTATATGGTCTCAGTAGGAGAAGAGAGCCTCTTCTTTGGCTCTGGGCATATGATCACCCTGTGACTTGTCATGTTCTTCTTGTGCCCCTAGTTAGCTGGCACAAGCACCCATCCATCATGAGTTAACAACTGGGAATGCAGATATTCTGTCTGCAATTGAGAGAAGACTTTTAACATGTCTGGCAGCTGTTTCTTGAGAGCAGGCATTATAGGAACTTGTTTGGGACCAGAGTTCAATGTAAAAAGACTTTCTTTGGAAAATTATCTGCAATAGCAAGAAGGCAGAATGGAGGGATGTTGCTTGTTCACCGATAGATCTTTCTCCCCTGCCAAGCACATGCCTTACAAAGTTTAGTCAATGGATGGCACTAGTGACTTTTCACAGCTGGGCTAGTTTTGGGAGCTGGCTTGTGCAATGCTTTTATGACTCACTGTTCAGTTTAAACCGTGTCTGAAAACTTGCTATTGCAAAATAGTTTTTTCAGTAGTAGTCATGCAGCCAATTCCCCTGGAGCAAAGAGGGAAGAGATGTTGTGGGGCATTGAGAAGCTCTAGTAAGGAAACATAACTGAGTCCTCAGCCAGTCCTTAGTCATCACTCCCTAGTTCTCATTAGCTCAACCTGCTTGGGCTCTGAGATAACCAGAAGTCATGTAACTGTTCTGTGCTGAGCTAATGAGCTCTGCTGAGGAAAAGCTGTATTAATTCAGGCCCAAGGCCATGCTAATGTGGCTACCTGACTTCCTCATAAAACTTGGAGTCTCTGCCAAATATAAGCATATCTGCTGGGAATATGGCTAGATATTGAATAAATTGCTGAATGTTTTTTGTACTGTTGCAGAAGGTTCTTGTTCTTTAGATGTGCATCCAGTTGACAACATTTTCTTTCAAGACTCATTGTATAAAACCTACTACTGTAGCCAACAGGAGAGAAGAGCAAGGAAATATAGCAATGTGAATATAAATGGAGAATCAGAAAGGAGAGCTGAAAAATTAAAACCAATAAGGATCTTGTGCAAAGTTTATTAAGATTCAAACAGAAGAAGAAACAGAAAAAATGAATGGGAAAGGTTAGACTCTTATTCCAAAAGCCAGGATGAGTTTTAAAAAATAACCTGATTCCAAAAGCTCCTGAAGAAGCTCAGCCTGATAACACTGCTTAGCAGGATGCAATTAAGCTAAGTGAATAGTGTTGCAATAGTATAAAACTGACATAAAGATTGATCTGTGCCTTAATTACCAGTCTGCTGTAACAGCAGTTTTAGTCCTATGGAAACCCCAAGTGGTTTCCATGGTACATCACCCCCCACATGCTAACAGGTCACTTGTCTTCTAAAAATACTTTTAAGATAATTAAGAAAAATAATAAATCAGCAGACCATTTTACTTCTAACTGGGGGTCAGAAATATTAAACCCTTGAAAATCTAAAAGTTTTGCTAATAATCAGAAACAATCAACATCTTACGGAGCTACCTGCTTTGTTCTTGTTGTTTCTGACTTTTAATGGATACAACATGCACCACAGATAACCAAGAGATGATGGTTTTGGGGAAGCTGCTCTGTTGTCAAAGTGGAACTGAATTTTGCTGGCCTGAAGAGAAGGTATTTTACATCTTTAGTGTTCTAAAACCTAGTTTTACTGAAGATCAGAAAAGCCTTCAGCTGCAGGACTGGAGGCAGAGGAATTGTGCTGGAGGAAAAGGTCTAACAATATATATTTTTTGCTAAAAACTTGGCTGGGTTGAGCAGGTCTGCTTTGTACTGACTCATGAAGCAAACAGACATCAGTGTTTATCAATTGCTGGTAACTGTCCATTTGAATTCAGCTTTTTGATGCAGGCTTTGGAGTTTGGCATTGTTCCTGGAAAATGCCTGAACACACAAACACTAGACATGTGGTTGTAAGCAGTTTCCATGGGAATAGTATTTAAAGCTATTTAAGAATGAAAGAAAAATTAACACATCTGTTGAATGTTTTTATGCCAAAATAACTGATGATAAAAGATAGTGTGAAGCAGTTCACAAACTGAGACAATGGTGCATGGAGATGTTTAATTCTGCTTTGTTAAGGGTGAAGTAGTTGTATGTACTTGTTACAGGCAAACACTGTGCAGACAGAAGTTACAGGAACGCTTATAATTCTGCTCTATCTTACTTGATGTGCTGATGAGCACTGCAGTTTTTCCTAAGCCAATATTTAATATTAGTATCAAATTCTCAATGAACAGAAGACCTCGGGCTTTGTTCAGATTATTTCCTTCACTGTTGCTCCAATGCAGTATCATCATCAGTGCTGGGTCTGATTAAACTAACAGAAATGAAGAATGTTAATTATGACCCAGGTCAGCCAGCTCTTACTGTTAGTGACAGTGTCATCCAGCTGTGGTACCTGAACAGACTTTCTCACGTGCCATTGTCAGTAATTAATTTTTAGGAGCTGATAGACCCAAGATCAATAACCTACTTAATATATTTTCTGACCCACCTACGAGCAACCTTGCATGTGTGAGATTGGAAAGAAATAGTCTTGAGTCCATGATACCCCATTCTCTTACAGCTCTTTCC